TCCAGCTACCTGGAAGGCTGAGGTGGAAGGATCACCTGAGCCCAGCAGGTTGACGCTGGGGTGGCTGTGAGCATGCCACTGCACTCCAGCCTAGGTGACAGAGTGAGACTCCGACACCCCCCCCCGCAAAAAAAAAAAAAAAAAACTTCCGCGAGGACATCTGCCCAGCAATTACCAGTCCAAACTTGGACTGACGCCACCTGTCATTGATCCTTGTGGCCAAGGACAATTATCTCAAAACAATTCTGTCGGCCTCGTTTTTTCTTTACCAACCCTGGTCTTCCTTTGCCTCCCTAAAATATGCACATAGCCACACGTAGTCCCATTGCAGGGACCTATTCTCAAATACACATCACTTTCTTTGAGTCTCCCCCTCTGTTATGTAGGATGCCGTTCCCAATAGTTCCAGGACAAGTCCCCGGGAACTCACTTCGCATCAGGTCCGGTCTGAGGGGCCAGCCTTAGAGCCAACCATGTGAGAGCCACGTGTTCCAAGGATGTAGGTTCCTCGAGAGAAAACAGGCCCTGTGACCAAATGCTGTAAATGTACGTGCACGCACGCTTGCATACCCGTGTATATGCTGTCCGCATCTGCTCATCTATCACATGGCATTCCTGAAGGCCCCTGCCTCCCCTGATCACCACTGTGACCTATTACAAAATGCAGGGGCAGGTCCCACTTGACGTGTGTCTGTTACTGCAGCTGTTTGCGCCATCTGTTCTCTCAGTCTGGACGACTTTCTTCTAGAGCCAGACACCCCTGCCTGACCTGCAGCGCGCTTCCCCGTTCCCTTCTGGGGTAAATGACCAATCACCTAAACCGACTACCACCATTCTCTTGCCTTTAATTCAGCTGTTCCCTTTCCCAGCAGACAAAGCCACCAGATTCGCATCAGACACCCCACCTGCTCACCCGGGCTTTCCAGGGAAGGCTGAAGTGGTTGACAAGAACAGAGACTGCATGTGCTCTCCAGGACGCCTGGCACAAAACAGGAATCGGTGGCTGCCAAGTGGCTAGGTCCAGGAGAGTTTCACTGACAGCATCAGGCAGGCCCAAGAGCACAGGCAACTAGAACGTACAAATTCAGGTTTTCAGTCGGGCTTGGTGGCTCATGCCTGTCATCCCAGCACTTTGGGAGGCTGAAGTGGGTGGACTGCTTGAGCCCAGGAGCAGCCTGGGTAACATAGCATGAAAGACCTGGTCTCTACAAAACATCAAAAAATTAGTCGGGCGTGGTGGCATGGGCCTGTGGCTCCAGCTACTTGGAAGGCTGAGGAGAAAGACTTTCCCGAGCCCAGGAAGTGAAGGCTGTGGTGAGCCATAAGCGTGCCATTGTACTCCAGCCTGGGTGACAAAGTGCGACCCTGATTCCAAAAGCCAAAAATGCAGGTTTCTTCCAGAAGGGCACATCAAACCCTTAGGCAATGCACCTCCAACATGTGTACATTTGTCATGTTATATGTCATATGCATGTACTAACTTGCACTGTAGGAAACACACACAAAAATAAACGTTTTAGCCAAGCGTGGTGATGCGCCTGTAGCCCCAGTCACTCGGGAGGCTGAGGTGGGAGGACTGCTTGAGCCCAGGAGTTGGAGGCTGCAGTGAGCTACGATCACACCTATGATCACACCATTGTACTCCAGCTTGGGTCATAGAGCGACACCTCGTCTCTAAAAACATAAATAAATAGGCCGGGCATGGTGGCTCACTTCTATAATCCCAGCACTTTGGGAGGCCAAGATGAGAGGATTGCCTGAGCCCGCGGGTTTGAGACCAGCCCAGGGGACTTGTCGAGACCTCGTCTCTACAATAAATCAAAAAATTAGCCAGGCGTGATAGTGCATGCCTGTAGTTCCAGCTACTTGGAAGGCTGAGGCAGGAGGATCGCCGGAGCCCAGCAGGTAGAAGTCATGAGTGTGCCACTGCACTCCAGTCTGGGTGACAGTTATACTCCAACTCAAAAAAAAAATACATACACAAATACATAAATAAATAAACGGTTAAAGTAAATTAAGTGTTTTCAAATAAGTTAAAATGTGAATAAATTTAGTTAAATTATAATTATTATTTTTTCAAAAAACTAAATAGAGATGCTATGGGTCCTTTTTATTTCACATTCACAACGATGAGTCCCGTGCACCTCTCAAGGACAAGTACCTCCGACTTTGGGGACCACTGGTCTCCATCACAGTCGCGGCAAAACGTTTTTTCAGAGCAGTGCACACGGATTCCATCTGGCCCAGCAACCCTTGGAACATACAAACCCTTAATCCGGCACTTGCTGTCTTCCGGTGGTCTTCTATACCCTCCCACCGCCTTTGTCCCATCCTTGTGCCTTGTTCCCACGCCTTTACCGTGAAGCTGCCGGACCCTGCTGGTGGCGCCAAATTGTCTTGAAAAGCAGACAAGTCCACTTAATGCCCTTCGGTACGAAGGTAGACGCTCCGTCAACGCCCGAACGAAAGGGGGACTCGGTACAGAGCCTGAGGTCCGGGTCGGTCGGATCGGCCCTGGGGTCCCGGGGTTCCCACCCCTCCCAACAGCCCGGCTACCGGCTAACCCCCAGTCCACTGCCCTCAGAGGTCGCAGAATAACTGGGAACATTCCGCCCAGC